AGCACTGAATAATTATTTTCTATGGGGAGGTCTACTGCGCACAGCCATTGCCACACATGCGCATTAGGTCTTCTCCGTCGGCGGGGGAGGAGCAAGGGACATCGGTGCTGGATTTAAGTGGCTGAAGGGGTTTTAACCCATTCATCCCCATGGGGAGACTCATTAACCCTGTAGTGCCAGGAAAACGGGTTTGTTTTGTGGCACTATAGGATCCCTTTAAATTGAAATGACTGCACACTTTTGATGTCATAACTAAACCTATATCTGTGTAGCAGTGATGTCAGAACTCAACTATAATAAATTCACTGTACATTGTTACAAAAATTCTGTAATAACTACACAATTATGATGTCAAACCCAGACAATGTGGTAAACACTCAAAACAGGGCACAGCAGTAGAATAGGAACACATGAAGCCAAATGTATGTAATGGCAAAAAAAAAAAATCATAGCGTGCAGCACTGTGAATAGTGATCGGATACTACTGACAATTACTGCATAAAGTTTTCACTGGCGTGTGATTTAGAAAATAACTTCATAAGAATGAAGTGTGAAATATGGAATATGGATATATGGCTGTCACAGCTATCTGAAAACCACTACAAATGTTTGAGATGCTTTCAATTCTATAACTCCTTACACACCTTCACTATGCATGTACACATATGTGCATGATTATAAATAAGTTCAAAATTAATCTACAAATAAATTACTTGATAAATATATAGAGAGAATGGGATATTATTAACATAGAGCAGGCATAGGCAACCTTCGGCACTCCAGATGTTTTGGACTACTCCTCCCATGATGCTTTGGCAGCATTATGGGAGAGTCCAAAACATCTGGAGTGCCGAAGGTTGCCTATGTCCCGCAAAACACCACACTGCACAATCAAATGTTGCTCTGTGAGCAATATTTAATTGAGAGCCAAGTTTGACTTTAATGCCGTTTAAAGGTTCAACTCTAAATAGCATCAGTAAAAAAAAAAGGTAGGTTTGGATCAAGGTTTACCAAAATTGGAACTGAGGCAAATTATGCTTTTAGGGTGTAAAAGGCTTTTAAAGCATCAGGTGTCCATTGTTTGGGATTTACATCATTTTTGTTATGTTGGTTATAGATGCTACTACAGACAAAAAACCTTTTATAAACCGTGTATAATAATTAGAAAACCCTATCAATCTTTGTATCATTTTAAATTTGAGAATGGATTCTAGTTTTGTTGAATCCATAGCAAAACCTTTTCCTGATATAATGTATCCTTGTGATTTGTCAAATAGATATAATTTTTCCAGTTTACAGTATAATCCATTTTGAAACAATCTGATCAGTACCTTTTTTTTTTTTTACATGTTTATGATGTCTCTCATGGAATATATTAAGATATCGTCAAGATATACTATAGCAAACTTCTGTTGAAAGTCCCTTAACCCCTTAAGGACCGAGGACGGTTCAGGACCGTCATCGGCATTTTTGCCTTGAGGACCGATGACGGTCCTGAACTGTCCTAACGGTCAGAGCTACTTACCTGATCGCCGTCGTTCCCCCGGCGGCGATCAGCATGGCTCCGGTTGTGGGGAGACTGCCTGCAGCCCAGGCAGTCTCCCCACAGCAGATTAGGACCCCTGTGGCCATGTGATCGCTTAACACAGCGATCACATGGTCACAATAGGTGTCCATGTGTCTGCCTGCAGGGGGACTGTCTGTGCTGACAGGCAGTCTCCCTGCTAGTGTAAAATCAAAAATAAAGTTAATGTTAATAAAAAATAAATAAATAATTATATATGTGTATATATGATATATAGACATATATTATATCTATATAATATATGTCTATATATCATATATATATAATGTCATACTAAGTGTATTTTTATATTAATATGTACTTATATTATAAAAATACACTTATAATTAAATTACACACGTATATATATAATTTATATAATAACTATATATATTGTATATATATATTATAAAATATAAATAATAAGTAATTTAAATTAAATTTTTTTTAAATAATAATAAAATATTTAAAAAAAATTATATAGCTATATGAAATTTTATTCTAACTGTATTTTAAAATTAATATATATATATTTATATCAAAATAAACTTAGAATGAATTTGTATATATATCTATGTATATAAAAATAAATAAAAATAATAAGAAATATACATACGTCCATATACAAAATTACATAAATAATTATATAAATATACACGTAGACTTCAAATATATAAATATGCATATATATTTAGATTCTACGTGCGTATTTATGTAATATTTTTACATAATTCAGTAATTTTATTGATTGCAATTTGAGGGACCTGCCTGCCAACCCAGGCCGAAATTCCAGAGAATTTAATTTGCTAGCACTGTATTTTACCCTGTAACTTTCTACGACACCCTAAAACCTGTACATGGGGGGTACTGTTTTACTCGGGAGACTTCGCTGAACACAAATATTAGTGATTCGAAACAGTAAAACATATCACAGCGATGATATTGTCAGTGAAAGTTACTTTTTTTGCATTTTTCACACACAAACAGCACTTTTACTGATGATATAATTGTTGTGATACGTTTTCCAGTTTTTAAACACTAATATTTGTGTTTAGCGATGTCTCCCGAGTAAAACAGTACCCCCCATGTACAGGTTTTATAGCATTTTTGAAAGTTACAAGGTCAAATATATGGGTCAAATATTTTTTACATTGAAAATGGCCAGGTTGGTTACGTTGCCTTTGAGAGCGTATGGTAGCCCAGGAATGAGAATTACCCCATGATGGCATACCATTTGCAAAAGAAGACAACCCAAGGTATTGCAAATGGGGTATGTCCAGTCTTTTTTAGTAACCACTTGGTCACAAACACTGGCCAAAATTAGCGTTCAATTTAGTTTTTTTACTTTTTCACACACAAACAAATATGAATGCTTACTTTGGCCAGTGTTTTCGACTAAGTGGCTACTAAAAAAGACTGGACATACCCCATATTGAATACCCTGGGTTGTCTACTTTAAAAAAAATATGTACATGTAGGGTGTTATTCAGAGATTTATGACAGATAATAGTGTTACAATGTCACTATTGATAAATTTTAAAAATTTATGTTTTGAAACCGCAATATCCTACTTGTACCTATAGCCCTATAACATGCAAAAAAGCACGTAAACACTAGGTATTTTTAAACTCAGGACAAAATTTTTAATCTATTTAGCAGTTTTTTTCATTCGCTTTTGTAGATGAGTAAAAGATTTTTCAAGTAAAAGTAAAAAAAACATGTATTTTTTTCAATTTTTCATCAGATTTTTGTATTTTTTTTAAATTAAAATACATGAGATTATATAAATAATGGTATGTAAAGAAAGCGCCTTTTGTCCTGAAAAAAACAATATATAATTTGTATGGGAACAGTAAATGAGAAAGCGGAAAATTACAGCCAAACACAAACACCACAAAAGTGTAAAAATATGCCTGGTCGCAAAAACAGTCCAGTCCTTAAGGGGTTAACACGTCATTTATTAAATCTTGGAAGAAAGCTGGAGCATTACATTGCCCAAAAGGCATCACTGTATACTCATAATGCCCATATCTATTGTTAAAGGCTGTCTTCCATTCGTCACCTTTACGAAATCTGCTAATATAATGGAAGACCTTCTGGGTTTGTCTCTAGCATTCTGTCTAAGATGTTTGTTTATACGGGAAAAGTAAGAAAGGTTTTCTGATACACAGACACTACACACGCAACACTCAGGCACTCTCAGACTTCCATACACACATATATAACACCCAACAAGCACATGCAGGCACACAGCCTGTCCCCAAATACCACACTCAGCCACCACACAATACTCACAGAAGGAGAGCCCAGGACTCTTGTAAGGGGCACACATCTGGCACAATGCCTAGGGCCCTTTGCAATCTTAAGCTTGCTATGTTTAAAGGTACCTTAACCCAAACTTTTAACCTAGTCCTAACCCTAATTTAAAAAAAAAAAAATATTCCAACAATACAGATCAATAAAGTGTGTATTAGGGGAAATAATGCCACCTTAGTTGCATGCATATCTGCTTTGTCATTAAGCTTTTGGTATCACAATTGTTAGATCTGGCCACAAGGGGGAGCTAATTGTTTAAAATATTATATTATGGCATATGAAGGAAACGTGGAGTAGTTTAAATCTTTTTAACAGCATGTTTTCCTCACAAAACTCTCACAGGTCCTTGCATGGATGATACATACAATGTTTGGGTATAGGTTTCATAGATTCACTACACTACATATCACTACACCCATCAGTATGACATACACAGCATCTGAGAAACAGACAATGTTTCATGTGATTCTTTGCCACTGGCAAGCGTGATATCTTTAGTGCTCTCTCATCTCACTCGATGGCCACTTGTGAAAGACATCACACATTCTCATAGTCTGACAGCCTGGTCAGCCCCAGATAATGTAGACTTCCAAGAAATATCCCAGTGGGCTAGTCAATGTCTGGGGGACATTTAATTGGAGGTCACTAACCAAAGCACAAACCCACACATTGCTGGGCTAGCAAAGGCTCTGAACAACAAGCCGTAATACTCTGGCTCTAGCTTTTACAGCAGGACAATTGCGCTATAAGGCTGTGGCCCGCCAGCCCCGTATACCAGTTTTCTAGGGGCACCTGCATGCCCTTGCCAACTCTCCCCTGTAAAAATCATATAATATTTGTTGTATTTTTTTTATAGGTTTCAATCAAAGTTTTATAAGTTTCAAAATCATAAGTTTCAATTATTCAATATACATATTTTCCCTGTAATAATATAGGCAAAGCAGCAATTAAATAGCAGCAATCATACTACGATTGACTCACTGATGATTAATTATTGGGAAAAACTTTATCCAAAACTAGGTGCAGTGTACAGAAACAAATCCTGCCTAAGCCCTACAGTAAAGGAAAAGATTGTACAGCAAATGCTGATGCCAATCATTGATTATGGGGATGTAGTATATGAACCTCCACCGCAAACCCATCTTAATAAACTCAATACATTGAGTAACTCGTTCTACTGATTTGTGCCGATTACAGGACCCACCATTGTGAAATGCTAAAATAACTAAACTGGTTGTCACTGGAATCCAGACGCACCCTTCATCTTTCCAGTCTTGTGTTTAAGAGCTTTTCTGGGAAGCTCCCACCCTACCTGAGCAGAATGCTCTCCTCGGCTGTTCCCACCTCCTATAACCTCTGATCCAGTGCCAGCACTTTATTTAGTCTACCTCAATACAAAAAGAAAGCAGCTCGATCCTCCTTTTCCTACAGAGCACCGCAATTGTGGAACGACTTCCCGCACACTTTCAAATCTTCCCTAAGCCTAAAGTTCTTTAAGAGATCCCTCTCTACATATCTCAAAACAGAATGCATCTGTCATGGTTTATTATATATTTCCTACCTGTTCTATGTTAAATTTTGTATATATTGTGTATTAATATTGTTTTTGTATTTTATTGTACCCTATTTTATCAATGCAATGTTTTGTGGACCCAGGACATACTTGAAAACGAGAGAAATCTCAATGTATCCTTCCTGGTAAAATATTTTATAAATAAATATGAGTGAAAACCACTTGCACCCTATGCAAACTGTACCCCCGAAATGTTTTTTTTTCTGCATATTCTACTTACCCTCCACATATAGCTTGTGGGAAAAGTAATAAATAAAAGGAGTTAACAGTTTTCTTGTGCTTTTCAACCTGTCAATGCAGCATATAACATGCAAGGCTCCTTCATATTTATTCCTTGTTCTCGTCACATTGACACTCCTAGCTCTCCCTCCTAGCTCGCTGAATTATCAATTTACAAATTCAGTTAAAACTCTCATAAAGGGGAGACAAAAACAACGAAGGATGCTATAAAATATCAAAGTGTATATGTCTCTTCACCAAAGAACAGAGGCACACCACACCCAATGATACTAAAAGTCATGTAAGGTACAAGAAAATAGAAAAAAGGGGTATTGACAGTAAAAAGTAAATCGTTATTTTTGGTATGTAATAGGGTCCTAAATGGAATAGACATATTGAGTAAACACTGAGGAAAAGGACTTAGTCCTAGGCTAAAATCTCAAACTGTAACAATCCCACGTAACTGAGGGATTTATTTAATACTAATATTCAAAAGTAAAATCTGTATAGGTAAGCTTACACATATATCTTAAGTTACCACCACTAGATGGAGCTATTACACCCATATACTGAGTGGCACCCAGTGGGGCAGACATAAGAGAGAACATGTTACAAAGTATAATCTTACTAGCTACAATTGAATAAATGAACAAAGTGTAACTTAGGGAAAGCGTCCTATGACCTACAAAAGTGATGGCGAACCTTTTTGAGCCTGAGTGCCCAAACCGCAATACATGCCAACATTTTTCCCTCATAGTGCTAACATGGCAATTAAGCCTGAATACTGATGTTTAAGTTTAGGGGTGCTGTGTGTAGAGGTGAGGGACAAGAGATATTAAAAAAAAAAAAAATGTTTAATCTGTGTCCCACCCTCCCTTCCTCTTACCTTTAGTGAAGATGGGTGGGACACAGCCAGCCCTGGTGGTCCGGTAGTGGTAAGTATGGCTCTGTGAAGCAGTTCTCCTGTCCTCCCGTGCAATGTTGTGTGGAGCATTGCTATGGTAACGTGCGGCAACACTCCACACAGATTGCTCGCGGGAGGACAGGAGAGCTGCTTTCTCGATCCCTCCCCCTGTCCTCCCGACACGGAAGCAGAGTAGGCACCTGCCGTTTCGGGCAGGCAGGTGCCTAGTCTGCATTACAGCAGACAGCCAGCAGCCCCCTCCCCTGGCGACCTATGGCCGCGTGCCCACTGAGAGGGCAGGGCGTGCCACAGGTTCGCCATCACTGACCTACAACAACAAACAGAGCAGTAGAGGGACAGAGTGAACCTAGCAAATACCTCAGTTCATTAAGAGCCTATTGATACCAACTATACATAGCTAAAAAGGAGAGTTTATAAAAAAAAGTGGATACCTCAGCTACAAGGAGCATGCATACATCAAAGAACCATCATATAAATATAGTGTAAGCTAATCAGAAACGCTCCAAACACTCAAGAGATAGCAGAAGCTAATATATGCTACAGCTGACAAGTTCTCCTCAACAATATAAAACACTTGCATAACTTGTAGGAGCAGAAAACGTAAGATAAGTATCCAGCTATAAAATAGAATGAACAACCGCCACAATAAAATCCTAACCACAAATAAGAAATTGCTAGTAACATGATTACATTGATTTGCCTAAAGAGTGCCAATATGATGTCTAAATGGTGAATCATCTATAGGCAATATAGATACAGGGATTTAACTAAATAGTGATACTAACCTTACATACTAAATAGCCATAATATATATCATAATAAAGATAAGGCCAATTATTAGTGTCTGAAACCAAGGAGTCTCCCCAATACATAAAGTTCCATAGTCGAATCTTCTCATAGACGGCTGATGATCTCATATATTATCATATAACTTGATCAATAGTCTATTGCTCAGATACCCCGAATAAAGAGGAGACGGTGGAAAAAGGAAAATCGTCAGAAAAATGTATTCCGATATCGCATATATATTAACTAATCAATGGGATATATATCTCCACAAATTTGTATACATGAGAGGTCTCTGCTATATCTCATGAGCATACAGAGATAAACCTAGCAGTACGGTGAATCTATGTGCTCCATATTGCATTGACATCACATAAATAAGATCAAAATAAAGATTAGGTCTAAATATAGCAGAGGGGATATATTTTCTCATGTTATTAGCTAATAAACCAAATGTGTTATAACAGAGGTAGGGAGAGAAGGATGATATTATCAATTGATATTAAATCAAAGAAAGTTTTTTGTTTTGTTTTTTTAAATAAAAAAATCTAAACTTTAAATAAAATGCTACCTTCTCTTAAGTAGTGTCACGTATCCTTCGAATCCATGTGGCAAAAACTGAGATAATTACCTTCCGAAGATCGAGAGGAGTGCTGCTCGGCGGTTTTCTGCCATGATGCCTGGTTTGTGTTGCATGTCGGTGCATGCGGGCCGCTGCGAACCCACGCAATTATATAGCCCCACGTCCACAGTAAAGACGATGTCGACATGCGGGTGACGTCACGCAAAAAACGCACATGCACGTTTTGGGGTCAAGGGCTAGGTGCAGCCAATCGGATCTGCAAGAGGGTTATTTAAACTCACTTGTTCCTTAGCTCATTGCCCTGTTGTGGTTTCCCGTAGATGGTTATCCAAAAGTGTGTTCCTGATCGTGTTTTTCTGGTTTTTGACTTTGGCTTAGTTTTGACTTCCCTGATTTCTGGTACCCTTGACTTTTGGCTTTTCCTTATCGTTCTGTGTCCCTGACCTCGACTAGTTTTCTGACTATACTTGGGTACGTTAAATCTAGCCATTCTAACGCCCTGTAAGACATTACCCTTAGTTCTAGGGTGTGATACTATTCTGCATGTTGGATCAATATAATCCTGACAAGTAGATATATTGCCAGGATGTCAAATGCAGATGGAGTTTGTCATACTAAACTTTTCCTGGTCAATTTATTTCACCTAAATAAAATTGCATGTTTGTTATCATCTTATCATAATGGTCTTTTATATTAAGTAATTGGAAACTCCTCAAATAATTGTGGAAATATTTTTTTGCATTAGTTTCAGTGATGTTTAGAAGGAAAGTCCACTAAAGAGTAAATTCTAAAAAGCAAATTCCAATTGTTATAACCTTCTTCAAGTTACTCTAATAGTTCAAATCTGATGAGCTATATTGGCGAAATGTGCATCAGGGGTTCTGACAAGCACACTCTCGTTAGGCTTATAATGGTGTTAACAGAAATGTACTAATAGCTCTCCCCATATATTGGAGGGAAAAATGTTTATCATTACAATCTCCAGCTTTATTTCATTATATCTATTCTAGGGGTGGGAGGAATTTCTTACCCATTTAGGAGTAACAGGCATTTTGGGCTAAGGGGTGCCTTCGAAGGCACAGAATTAGTATTTACATTTCCTCTCTCTGCCATCACTCCTATTGCGACAGACATTGTTTGGCAGCGACTTTTAGCTAATACAATGTAGCTTTTTTGTGCCCACTACATTGCTGGACTTTTGTAGTTGCACTATCTCTAGCCTGTATTACAAACATTTTCTGATATCTTAGTATTCCTATTGCAGCACATTGTTATATACTACTTTTTTTTTTCAAAAGGGAGAGAGACGTCCCCTTATTTCTTTGTTTGGAGTTTAGATTTAGATTTTTTTCTATTCTCCTTGTACCTCTGGTCTGCTACAGATACAGTCTTTTTATTATCCTGAACTCACAAAGCTACAGCCTGTACTACCTTACTCTGTATTCATTATGCGTATATTTGGGTAGAACTACCAGATATTCATATACAGACATTATAGCTACACCCAGGAGAATTGTTTTGTAAATATGTACATTATTATTTCTGTTTGAATTTTCTTTTCCTTTTCTTTTTGTTGTGGTGACTTATTTCACCTTTTAATCACTATATAAAAAGTTAAGTTTTATTTTTAGAAATACCAGCCTAATTGGTTGATATTTGCGACTCCACAAGCGATACAGTTATTATATCTCGCTCTCTCCTGGCAGTTCTCTTTTTTTCTCATTTATTCCATTGTGACCAGTCTCACTAGGGGTTACCCCCTGCTTCAGGAGGTCAATAATTACATTACCTTTCTTTACTCTTTTATTGTCATTACAGTTGTACCAATTTAGTGCATTGTCAGGGTAATGTCCCCTGTCAGTGAGCTATGTGAATTATACATGTATTAATACATAAAAATAGATTTAAATAATATGTAAAATTAGATAGGTAGAAGCCCTATAAAGGGTTAAATGTGAAAGGGTTTATAAAATACCCCTTCCTGTATTACTGGAGATTCTTGGCTGATATCAGCATATCTAATGGCTAGGGTAGGAACTCACCTATTGAGGCTTGCCTTGACGTGGCAGGTGAGCTTATATATTCAAATGGCCATTGGAATAAAACTAAAGACCTCCATTTTGTTTAAATGTACATGGGGATTTAGGCCAGAGCGCAGGTAATGTTCTCTTTGTTTTTACTATGTATTTTAACATAGAAACATAGAATGTGACGGCAGATAAGAACCATTCGGCCCATCTAGTCTGCCCAATTTTCTAAATACTTTCATTAGTCCCTGGCCTTATCTTATAGTTAGGATAGCCTTATCCCTATTCCATGCATGCTTAAA